TTTACTGCACTTAGGGATGTTTATTGCACCCTTTTCCTGTGAAGCATTGTAAAATAAATAGACTTGCAGACTTAGAAGAATCAATTTAACTAGATGATATGGTTGAATAGTCTCTATAAAGTGACCTGAGATGACGGGATGTGAAGTGGAGGTATAGAAATAAACTGAATAGAATTGAATTTGAGTTTTATTCACTATTATCATGGTTGGGGGAGGTTTTTGAGGACCCAAAATGCAGAGATCAGGAGACAGGGTGTACTTCTCCAGAGTATCAAAATACAAAGAACCAAAAAAGAACCAGAAAACATCAAAGAAAACTCACCTGGGGAGCCAGAGATGAGGAAACAGCAAAACAACAACCAGGAAGCAGCACTGAGTGACTGCAGAGGTGGAGTATATAAGGGGAACCAAACAAAGGGTGGCCTAACGAGCTGAAAAAGGAGCAGGTGTGAATAGAACTAGAAGGAGGCCAAGGGGAAAGGGGACTTTCCTTTCTAAAAAGCATGCACACATTTATGACTCAGTTTTATATAAACTCAAATTCAGTGTTAAATATGTGACTATGAGGCTTGTTCTTTCAATAAATGTCACTGAATCTGTCATGATCTTGTTGCTGATGACTGGCTTGATTATTCATTCCATTCATCTGCCTAGCTCCGCCCAGTTTCTCATCACGGTTCATCTGAATTACCTGTAGCAGTCTCAATTTAGCCTGCCTGCTTCCAGTCATCAATGGCAGATTATTGGAGCTCTCTGTGCAAGTTTTCTAGCCTATCCAAGTGTTTGTGATTGCCTGATCCTGACACGTTCTGCCTTTGGGCCGCTGAGCCTGCCTGTTCCGATATGTTTGCCTGATCTGTCCTTGGAATCCTGCTGGAATCTGCCTTTTCTCTGAACCTGGAACTGTTTCCTGATACTGACCTAGATTTCCCTTTAGCACCTCTTCGTATCTCCGATATTCTGGCTCTGACTCCTGAGCACGTCGTCGACACATTCTATTCAGTTTATTTCTATAGCGTCATCTCAAGGCACTTTCCAGTTCAACCAGATCATCCAGTCAGATTGATTCAAAGTTTTCTATCTAAGGAAAACCAGCTGATTGCATCGACTCATTGACTCTTCAGCAATCCCTCA